GTTTAAATTTCAAAGCAGATTCCATTATTTATATTATTCATTAATGCAATTTTGACTCATGCGCATTGGGTTTTCTGTTTTTTATCAAAAACATCCAACATTTTTAAGCACAAATTTCAACTTTGTATATGAAAGGATTTACTAGAATTGGGAGGAAGTGATTCAATTGGTAGAAATGGAGAGAGAATGAATCAGCCTTGATTGGACTTGGGGTAGGGAATGACTTAATTAGAATTTTGATGGTATATATTGAGCCTGATCAGCACATGAATTTTCACTTAGAGATTCTCTCCTGAATGGAAATCATTTCTCTGGGTCTTGTCATATCTTCATTTCAAATCAGGATTTCAGACTAGTGGAATGTAAGTTACTTTTTTCTCCTTTAAAATATAAAAAGATTAAGACAGTAACTTTTTACATAAGAACATGATTTTTTCCTGTTAAAACTTGTTCAATCATCCATCCATCCATTCACTCATTTATCTTCTTATGTGGAAAATTATTACTGGGCAACTATTGGTGTCAGGCATTGCTTTAGATGCGTGGACTTTATCACTGAGCAAAACAAAGATCCTTGCCCTTGTAGAAATTATATTCAGAATGGAAAAGGTGGAGAAAGAAACAAATGTAACATAACTAAATTAAATAGGATCATGGAAGAAAGTTAATGCTGTGTAGAAAAAGAAGAGCAGAGTAAGGGAGATACACAGTATACAGGATTTTAGGAGACAGAAGGGAAGTACAGTTGTCATTTTAAACAAAATATCAGGGTTGGTTGGTTTAATTTGAGCAAAGACCAACAGGAGAAGGAAAACTATCTTGGCAGAGAAAATAGCTAGTTTGAGGGCCTCAAAGCAGAAGCAGCTGTGCGAGTTCAAGTATCATAGTCTAGAAAGGCAAATGAATATGATGAGTCAAAGAGTCAAAATGACTAAAGAACACCTGGGGGGGGGTGCCTGGGGCACTTTTGAATTTAACTATGAAGGTAACAATACCTCCCCACTGTCTGACTTAATATCCTTTTCTTTCAATCATATCCAATTCTATTAAATTTGCTTAACTGTTGCTAATTAATGCTGCAATGTGATACTTTGTTGTTAGTTATGTTCATTTTTCTCATTGGGAGATTCAGTGTCTTTCATGTTTATTGTCTATTGTTGATTTGGAATTATTCTTCCTGAATAGCCTGTTTATATCTTTGTTAATTTTAACTGGGTTGTTTGTATTTTTATATTATGTATATTAGTGTACATATTATATTAGTATTAACAGTAGTCGTAGCAACCCTTTCTGTTATAGACATGAAATTTATCTGCTAATCTAGTAGTTAGCAATTGACTTTGTATTTGGCATATTGGCTATAAAACTAATTTTTATCATATACATGACTTTTTAAAAATCATATATTTTAAAGCTCTTAGAGGGTCTACCTTGATTAAAATGTCTTTTCAAGCACTAGGTACTATAATTTCTTAAAATTTTCTTTTTAGATTATTATGGTCTTTTTTCCCCTTTGGGGTATTGTTTTTGTATTAGCTTTGAAGCTAGAATTCGTCCATTACTTCCTGCCTTAAGAATAGCCAGTTTTGCAATCACAGTTATTAAATACAACACCCTTTTTACACTATAAAACACTATCTCTGTCAGATCTGGAGAATTTATACAGTTAAGATATACCATACTATGTCCAAAAGCTATTAAGTATGATTTGAAAAGGATGGCTTTGTAGATTATGAGAAACAAGAAATAAAGCAGTCATTAAGAAGTCCAGAGGATTAGGATCCAAAGCACAAGGGGGTTTGAGGTCACCTCCTTTCTAGTTACACATGGAAAGCTGAGGATATGGGCATAGCCAAAGGCAACTTGATAGATATGCCCAAAGGTAAGATAAGGAGTCCTTGTTTAAGAGTTTCTATTTTACCAGATAAATCAAAAGATCTTCCACTCTCAAGAAAGAAGATGAGAAAGGAAAGGAAATGGAAGAGGCACGTGGACTTAAAGAAAGAGGGAAATGTGGGAAATGTTATTGAGTAGAAAAATAAACAATTAGAAAAATAGAGGAAGATTGTTAGGCAGAATTAAGGACCCAACTAGATTTCTGTGATAACAGGTTTAAATTAAGAATTATAGAGAGGTTATATGATTTTTTCTGGTTAATTTAGCAGATAGGGTAAATTTTAAGCTTTTACTGAAATTTCCAACTTTTAGTTTCTTTTTCTTAGTATTTTCAAAACTGCTTATGTCAAAGTTTTATAGTTCAATTTTCTGATAAGTATTTTCAGATCATTTATGTATAAATTTTTTTAGTATTTTTCTTATTAATACTTTTAGACCATTTTAGTTAGAATCTTTTAATTTTGTGAATGGATTGATTATAATGTACATTGGTACTAATGAAATCATGGCATGCTTATTAAATTAAAGTTAGCAGTTAAAAGAATGGGTAGTAGGCTATGAGTTAAATGGATTGGGGTTACTCACTCAGGGTTGATAAAGGCAGTTAGAATATAAAAAGTGTGGGTATTTTCTAAAACTGTGTCACCATCTTGTCATTGTTACTTCATTCCCCTATTTCATAGTACATGATTCATTCATTCATTCATTCAACAAATACTTACTCAGCACCTATTATGTGCCAGGCACTGTTCTATATGCAGAGGATACACCAGTGAACAAGAGAGACAAGGTTCCTGATTTCCTGGAACTTATGTTCTAATATAGGAAAATAGACAATAATAATAAAAAAATAATATTAATAATAATAATAGCTAACATTTATTTAGCAAGTACTGTTTGCTGAGACAGTTCTAAGCACTTTACAAGTATTAATTTACTTAATCCTTTCAGTAACATTATGAGGTAGGAACTAGAATTATCCCCATTTTTGCATGAGGAAATTGAGGGCACAGAAAGGGAAAATGACTTGCCTAAGGTTACAAAACTAGGAAAGGACAGGACTAGAATTTAGAACCTAGACTAGATCTTTACTCTCCATGCCTTTGTGATATGCGATACAGCCTCTCAGATAAAAAACAAAGCAATACAACAAGCAATAAATTCAGGAAGTGTTTGGTTTTATGAAAAGTAAAACAGGGTTATATGAGAGTGTGTTCACTGGAGGGGTGGGGTGTTGATGTAGATGTCAGGAAAAACCTCACCGAGGAGGTGGCATCTGAGCTGAAAGTTGAAGAATAGCAGTTGTTATATTGGGACTGAGATAACAGAAAATCTAGTGCAAAAATAAAGAATCTTTCCTTGTTTTGTGAAATAAATGCCCACTTGGCTACATCTTGAGCTTAGTATGTAATTGACTGAATGAACCAGAAATCAGGGAGGTATGCAAGAGTTAGGTTCCACGGGGCCTCAGGAGATATTATTAATTTTTAAGTGCAATAGATTTTTATGCAGGAGAATAATGCTATCTAACAATTTTAAAACATAACTCTTGCTGCTATATGTAAAATTGTAGCTAAAGAGGAGGCAGGAAGATCCACTAGGAGGTAATCACATCCAAGTGGAAGATGATGGTGGCTTGCTTGGATGAGGGCAGTAGCAGTGAATTGAAATGTTGGGTAAATTTTTAAAAAAACTGGTAAGATTTGCAAATGAATAGGATATGAAGAGTGAAGGAAAAGCAATTTAAGTAGGTCTTTCAGGATTCTGGATGTGAGACTGGTGAAAGAATACCTTCAAGTAAGATAAAAATGAAGATTTTTTATTTTTTCCAGAGTTTCCTGACATCTATTCCTCAATAGTTTGGTGTAGGAGCATTTGCTCTAGTATGAGAGTTAACCTGCCCCCCACCCTACCCCCGTGCTGGGGTGGGGGTGGGTCAAGATTTTTATCTCGAACTTTATGGGCGAGGAGGGTTTTTTCTTTCTTCATTTGAAAGTTTTTTGAAGAAAGAATCCATGGAGAGAGGGTTTAAGCATCCAATTACGTAAAATTTGACATTTGAAACTAAATTGGGGGAGCTGAATTTTCATTTGTTGAACAATGACTTATTGAGCATTTACTATGCTCCAAGATCTGTGATGAAAATAGCAATGCAAACAAAGCAAAAAAAGATACCTGCTCTAGGTCTTTTTTTTTTTTTTTTCTTTTGATAGCAGTGGGAGACCATTGGTGATTATTTCCCCCAGGTTTTCATTGTCTTATTTAAACTTCACCTAACGCTTGAGTAGCCATCTTAATTCCATCTCGCGCTTCTGACAGCTGGGCCCACCGTTCTAAACGTTCAACGTCATAAACGCTAAAACTGACATCGCCCCTCCCATTAGAACTTAGCGCTTAAAAAAAAAAAAAAAAAGATAAAAATTTTAACCAACAATACGACTACAACCTTTGCTTTGAAGTCTAAGGTTTTTGAGGAATGGTACCTTTATAAAGATCGTGGTTGCCCCCGTACATATTTGTTCTTTCTTCATATCCAATTAAGTGAAAATACTAGTCTTTCCATAGCCCAACTCCCTAGGCTGGTTGGGTCTAGCTCAGGAGCAGGACGGAAGCAGGAGCCGTTGGATTTTAACAGTTTGATATAATCCTTTTCCACGCTCTCTCCCGCTAGTTGCGGACGTGGTGTCGGCTACCCGGGGCTTTCCGTCCACGCAGTACCGGAATGAAGGAGTCTGGGAGGGGGTCGGGGAAGGAAAAGACGGAAAAGACATTAAGTAATTGGTTCTCCAAGGTATAAAAATGATATTTAGGGTCTACTCTAAGGCACAGATTTCAAACGCCCGCCCCCTGGGCTGTCTCAGCCCCACCCCCTGCTGTCGTCACGCTGACTTCCACCCGGGCCTCTGCTGATTGGTGGTTAAAGCGCTTGGGTTTTGCTTCCGGGTCTTAGGCTTTGGCCCTGGGAGCAGAGGATTCTGGGGGCCGAGAGTGGCAATGGTATCTGTGTGATCTGCGGAGGTGGTCAGACCTCGGCCAAGGTGAGCTGCAGGCCAAGGTGTTTCTTCTGCGGGTGGGAAAAGAAAGGTGGGGTCGGAGTCGGCGGCGGGCGGAGGAGCTCCGGAGCAGTAGTCAGGGCTGGTGCGTGCGAAGCTCTTGGGCCCACCGCAGAGAAAGCGGCGCCAAGGCAGCTTTGCCTGTGGCTTAGGTGGGCCTGGGGTACTCCCACCGCCTTCCCCCACGGGTGAAAAGACAGCGAGTTCCTGGTGACAGCCCAAGGGCACGCTCCCGGGATACCAAATCGCGAGGTGTGCAGGACGCGGAGGCACCTAGCAGCAGACAACCCTGTTTCTCCCTCTCTGGACACACGCCTTTACCCTTTATGAAACTCAAGAGAGGTATACCCCTCAAAATCTTTCCATTTCCTTGTTCTTTTGATAGGAGTGGGAAACCATTGTTTTTCCGATGCTAATGGGATTTAGCGATTGTGCCAGGTGGTAGGTACTCTTGGTTACCCAGAGCTGAACGTAACATACAGAATGTGTTCCTGATTTTTTTGGTTATTAGAATCCTTTGGGAGTGGGTTTCCTGTCTTCTGAGGGTCTCTTAAATTATAACCTTAAAAGGGCTGATTTATATTGTGATGACTTACAGGGGAAAATCAACAAATGGTTGTTAAAATTTTGTCCATGTAACTGTCATTGAATTTTAGCACACTTACCTCCTGGACACTCAGTAAGTTTGTCAGTGATTTTTAAGTTTTGTTTCGATTAACTTATTTGTTGTTCTGTGAAGTTTAGAAATAATGCAAATCTTGGAAGCTTGGGGGAATGTGGTTGAGAATTCTTAAAACTTAAGAGGTGAAACTGTATATTACAAGAAATTGAGCATGTCATGTCCCATAATTCCAATAATCCTAAAAGGAATATCCCCATTCCACCGATGACAGAAACAAGTTAGGGGACTTGCCCAAGACCAGGCAGCCAGGAGAACAACAGGATCACAAACTTAGATCCTCATGACAGAATTTTTTGTAGTAGTAACTATCTGCAAAGCTATATTCCTTGTTTACCCCTTAGGCCATAGTTTGTTTCCTTAGAACTTGTGTATAGAAAGATTATGCAATTTTGGAGGGATGAGTTTTGAAATTATTTCACAAGGGTAGATATTGATGAATAAATTTATGAAGCAAGAATTCTTTTGGGAATAACTTAATACTGTTTTTCTTCAGAGCATAAAACATGACAACAGCAGCCAGGCCGACTTTTGAACCTGCAAGAGGTGGAAGAGGAAAAGGAGAAGGTGATTTGAGCCAACTCTCAAAGCAGTATTCAAGCAGAGATCTTCCCTCTCATACAAAGATAAAATACAGGTAATAAAGACTTTCCAAAGACCACATCTGTTAAATGGCATGATCATGATATATGATCAAGTTTGAGTTATCACTTATCACTTAGGTTATCTATTTTTAAAGGAATAGAATGCAACAGAGGGCTTAACAATAAAATTATGCTATATGATTTTAAAGTGCTACTAACATTCCTTCAGCAGAAATTGCTGTTAACCAGGAATTTCCATATGTGGAGGGAAGAGTACCTAATATTACCTCAGAGAAACTATGCACTTTCAGCACAAGTTAGTGGGATAAATGTTATACTGTAACAAGCTCTTGAGTCTATATAATGGGAACAAAAATTAAGGACGTTTTAATCAATCTGCGACCATATTAAGCAAAGTATGTGATTCGTTTGGGGCTTCTTAAAATATTGGAAATATCACAAGTGCTAGTTAGTAACCTTCAGATTAGGTTACTATCTTGTCCTCTTCTTTGTTTTATCTTTGAGGGACAAAATTGTACTTGTGAATTGAATTGTCTTCCATTCACATGTGATTTTGTTTTCTTGGGGTTGGACGGGTCGTAACATTTTGTCCTGATTTGTTTCCACTTTAGACAAACTACTCAGGATGCCCCTGAAGAGGTTCGTAACCGGGACTTCAGGAGGGAGTTGGAAGAAAGAGAGAGAGCTGCTGCACGAGAAAAAAATAGAGATCGTCCAACCCGAGGTATCAACCCTGTCCCAAACATTTGTCTCCTAAAATTATATTGTCCATGGTTTTTCTTTCATGTAGTAATTAGAAAGGGTTCATATTTTTGTGAGCTTTACTTCCTTAAATAATGAGAGATAATGAAGTTTATTCCAATTTCATCCTTTTATCCTTCTATAATAGAAGGAACAGGGTGATCTGGAGATATTCAGCAGCCATCATTTTATTTCAAATCAAAAGTTTTAACTCATTAGAGCAGCCAGGCCCCAGGATTTCTGTCTGAGAAATTTTATGTTTTCAGACAGGTAGTGATGCGTGCCTGTATTCCTAGTAACTCTGGAGGCTGAGGCAGATGAATTGCAAGTTTCAGGCCAGCCTCAGCAAAATAACAAAAAGAGCTGGGAATATAGCTCAGTGGTAAAGGGCCCTGAGTTAGATTCCCAGTACCACCACCCTCATCCCCCCAAAAAAAGAGATTTAATGTTTTCAGTTTATATAAACTTCACCCTGAATTTCCTGAGGTTGCAGTTCTAATATTAAAATCAGTCCTTTTATTAATATATTTAATATTTACCAACAATATTTACCAAAGACTTATTTGCCAGTCATAATAGGTGATCCCTGATGGCATGCTTTGAATATGGATTCTTCATACCTATAGGTCCCTAAAACATTATAAGAAATGCAGCACTTGTTTCACTAAGTTAAATAATGTGTGTTTTCCACCAGAACATACAACCTCCTCTTCAGTGTCAAAGAAGCCTCGGCTAGATCAGATTCCTGCTGCCAACCTCGATGCAGATGATCCTCTAACAGATGTAAGTTTTTTTGTTTTCTTTCATTTGAGTATTTTTCTTTGCCAAGGGTTCAAGAACAAGTTTGATATCTAGAGAACTCACTGTGAAAGCAGTCTATTAAAGAACATGCCTTCCTCCAGAAGAATTCTTTATATTAAACCCTAGAGTTGAGCTACTTTTTTTATATACACAGGGCACACATTGGGCTCTCTGGAAACATTCCCTGTAGTTATACCCTAGGGCCTTTCCTCATTAGCTATGATCAGATGTATTATGCACATGCTGGTTCCCTCTGTGTTTAGGGAGGAAAGTAATCTAAGCAGAATTTTTTTAAAGTTAGCATATCAATTAAAATTCAGTGGGACTCCATAGTCAGTAGTTTGTGCTTTTCTACAAAACAGTGAAAAAATGAGTGGCCTTTCCTAGATAAGATGTAATCGTGCACATATGTCAGCAATTAATTCTAGAGCTGACTGATGAAGTTATAGTCATTAAAACAAGAAGCTCAGTTATAAGTGTGATTTAATTATTATTCATTTGAAATTATTTTATTGTGGAATTTAATGCTCTTTTTTGCATGTCTGATCATCCTTACTTAATAACTTAAAATTGCTGTAAGTTACATACTATCATTCTGTCTCTCCTAAAGTGAACCCTGTACATACCTACTGTATTTCATTATGAGGTGTTCCTTTTTCTAATTTTAGCCATGTAAATTTGAAAGGTACTTTATTAGGAGTTGACATTTTAGGAAGTATTCTAAGCTTTTTGTGAGATTTTTATTTATTTGGTTGGTTGTTGATTTTAATCATAATATTCAAGTGCAGTTATTTTCCCACTAGGAAAATTAATTCTGTCCCAAAAATATGGTAAATATAGTTTTTAAGGGACAAAAAATTAACATTTTGCATTTTCCCTCCAACATCATGGATAATTACTGCTTTTTACTGTTTTTAGGAGGAAGATGAAGATTTTGAAGAGGAGAGTGATGATGATGATACTGCAGCTCTCCTTGCAGAACTAGAAAAAATTAAAAAAGAAAGAGCAGAAGAGCAGGCCAGGAAGGTAAAAATCTAAGGGTTAAGTATTTATATATCCCATCTTCACATGCTAAAATAGGAATATTTTTTATTCAAATAATATCTTCTTATATTAGAAATTTTCCTTACCATGTCTAAATATTGTGGCACCTGAAGTCCTATAAATCTGATTATTTTTATGACATTTTAAGGATCCTGGTTATGTTGGAAATTCTAAACAGTTCAGGCATGCTGAATAATACTCCTCAACTTGCTTATATTTACTTGTTTGTTCTTTGTTCAATAGACATTTAGTTAGTGTTAAGTGTCAGAAGAACCAACATGATTAAGATTAGTCTACAAATTTCTCTCTCTTGTCTCCTGCCTAGACACTTGTGAGGCAACCTGTCAATAGATTTTATATACAATCTATGCCAAGTTATCATACTCTTGTATACCCAGTCTTTCCAGTTATACAGTGGGAGAAAAGAATGCTTACCTCAAAAATTTAGAGAGAAAACTGAGAAGGCAAGCAGGAGTCCAAGCATTGGCAGTTTGTATTTATATTAAACCCTAGAGTGTTAAAGGAACTGAATTAAACCCAGTGTTAAAGGAACTGAATTTTGTTCTAAAGAATGAAAAGCCAGTAGAGTTTAGCAGTAGATTGGTAAGAGTGCATATGCATTTTGGAAAGTATAGAAGATGGATTGGAAATAACTGAGTGAGGAGGCTATTTCGATACTCCTTATGGGTAATGAAGAGAATCTTAACTTACATGATAGAAGTTGGAATTGGTAGAAATAAACAGGTGCTGGGAAAGCTCTCAAGGAGGAGAATTGACCAAATAAAGTGAGTGATTGGTTGTGGAAGCAAAGATGACACCCACCACACACACACAGTCTTAGTATATGTTGGTGCCATATAGTAATACATGGAAAGCAGAAAAATGGGTATGTTTAGGCAGAGGGAAAAAAACTTGAATTCTATTTTGAACATGGTGAATTTGACACATTAGAAGACATTCAAGTAAAGATATCTGCACCCATTTTCAGCCAGAGTAGTACAGCTTTTTTTATGGATGTCAGCGTAAGATTTCATTTGAGCCGTGGGTTATGTTTTTAAAAATAAAAAGCAAGGGGGCAGTTGAGTGTGGGGAGAGAAGACACTGATAAAAGTTAATGATAAGAATCTTGGGAAGTAGATTTGTAAAGTCCATGTTAGTCAGAAGGGTCAGGGAAATTTTCAGGAAAAAAAAATAATATGAGATAGTCTTAGAATTCAGATTGGAAGAAGAAAGGATTTTTTTTTGTTGTTGGTGATGGCAGTGGTAATTTTGTGGGTTCTTTTGTTTGTTTGAATGCTACAAATCGAACCCAGGGCCTCATACATGCTAGACAAGCACTCTACTTCCAGTCCCAAGAAAATTATTTGCAAATAAACTTCTCATTAAAGTTTGACATAGGAAAGCATAATTCCTATTAATAGCTTGCAGTTTTTATCTAATGTTTAAAAATAAATATCAAGAACATTACCAATGTCACTCGTCTGCCACTAGAGGGCAGTTGTTCCAAATTCTTTGAGGTTCTCTATTCTCTGTATCTAGACTGAAAGAACTTTAAATGCTTTTGGTTGATGTTTAGGCAGGATAAATATTTTAGATGAAAGATATGGGAGATTCATCTAATCTCTTTGTGAAAAATGTGTTGGTATTTCTTGAAGTCACATGACAATTTTATTCCCTTAGTCCCTGTTTTTCTATTCTATAAACTTTTTTGAGGTATCTCAAAGTAACATTTTCAAACTAATTAACCTATGTCAAGGTTTAGTACACTTTGTATAAAAGGTCAGATATTAAGTATTTTGAACTGCCTTGTCATCAGCCTGTGAATCCTCTGTTGCAACTGCTCTGCTGTTGTAGCACAAAAGCAGCCTATGCTCCAATAAAATTTCTTTCTCATAAATAGCAGGAAAGGGATTGTTTAGATTTGATCTGCAGGCTATCTTACTGCTACCTTTTGTGCCTAATATTTGATGGAAGAAGTTGGTGCTTTTTTCCCCTCCAGTGCTGTATGTGACAATCAAGTAACCAAAGGAAATAATATTGCAGATATTAAAAGACTGGAACCTTATATGTTAACACATTATTATTACAAATTTCATACATTATATACTTGAGCTCCTAATTTTTATAGCATCTCAAAGAAATGTCTTTTCACTTTTAGCATCCATGTAATTTGTTAAAAATAAATAGGTAATTTTTAGAAAGCTATTTATGTTCTAATCTTCCAGGGGATGGTTCCTAACTTGCTTAAGATCTGGTCCAAAGCAGTTTTTCTGTTTATTTTCCTAAAAATCTCACCTGCCAGTTATTTGTCCTGATAAAAATGAAATGCATTGTTTATATTTGCATATTAAAATGAACAATCAGTAACTTTTATGGAAAATTGGATTACTTTTAAAGTAACTTCTGAGCAATTGTTTTTTTCCCTTGATCTACTAAGTTAACAATTTCTGTCATCCTCAAAATACAACAAAATGGGATTTTTATTTGGTTTAAGATAATATGTTTCAGGCAAATCTAGAAGTTGCAGCTAAAGATTTGGAAACTTCATGTTCCTGGTTCTGAAAATGAAACTGCAGGTGATTTGAGTTTGAAGAGATTGATGCTAAAATAAAATGAAAACAATGTTATAACTAGTGAAGGATAAGAGGTATAAAAATAGAAAGTGGATGACAATAAATCCTAAAAACAAAGTGGATACACTTCAGGAATGTTGTACATGATTGTTTGTCTTATTTTAGGAGTTACTCTTTAGATATTAATAATAATTTTATCATTAATCCTAGAGATGTAAGCTTACATTGTTAGTAATTTAAAATGGAAGTATTTTTATCAGTTTGTCTGTGGCCCTTTAAATAGCTTTGCTAAATGTCTTTTTTATGTTTAATATGTTCTTAAATTATAAATGTAAAACAAAATTTAAAGTAATTCGTTTTATATGTTCTTCAAAAGAAAACAGACTTAAATATGCATCACAAAGCTTTTCAGAATTGGGAGATACTAATGACTGTATGATAGCAAGTATGAAATATTTATAATAAAGATGCCAGATTGTTTTTTTTTTTTTTTTATGAGCTTTTCTGTTATCTTAAGAATCAAAATAGAAAGAAGACTACCTTGATGCATATCTTTCCTCTTTAAACAATTCTAACAGTCTCTCTCTTTTTTTCTTTAATGAGCTAATATAAGAAAATTGCATCTTCCTCTTTCATTGCCAGGAACAAGAACAAAAAGCTGAAGAAGAGAGAATTCGTATGGAGAACATTCTGAGTGGAAACCCTCTTCTTAATCTCACTGGCCCTTCCCAGCCTCAGGCCAACTTCAAAGTTAAAAGAAGGTACTATAAGTAATGGGTTAGAATTCTATATACAGATTATGAGTTGGACAGCAAAGTATATTATGTAATGCTTCTAAAACTCCGCCTTCCACTGATATTTTTCTCTCTCTAATTTTCGAGTAATAAAAGAAAGAAAAGAAAATTTTCTGCAGATATTTATAACCAGCTACATATCAAATAATGATCTAAACACTAGGGTAAGAGTAATGAACTAAGCAGTCTTGGGAACCTTACAAAGCTTATGTATATTAAGTACGTGTGTCCTTGGCCCCAAGACTGCTCTTCACATTCAGATATTCACTAGAAGGATTCAGGGCACTTAGCTTATAATTACATTCATGGCTAACATAGAAAAGATATGAAACCAGGTTGGGTTTTTGTATTTGGTACCAAGGATTAAACTTGGGGGCACTGGACCACTGAGCCACATCCCCAGCCCTATTTTATATTTTATTTACAGACAGGGTCTTGCTGAGTTGCTTAGCATTTCGCTTTTGCTGAGGCTGGCTTTGAACTCACTATTCTCCTGTCTCAGCCTCCCGAGCCACTGGGATTGCAAGACTTATGAATTGAGTATTACTTTGTTCTTTTGTTGTGTCAAATGATGTGCACATTGAGCATCTTTCTGTGTAATGACTATGCTTTACAATGCACATGGTATTCTTGTCTCCTAATAAAAACATTATAAGGCATTTTATTTTCATTTTTCCTTTCAGGTGGGACGACGATGTTGTGTTCAAGAACTGCGCAAAAGGTGTAGATGATCAAAAGAAAGACAAAAGATTTGTAAACGATACACTGCGATCTGAATTTCACAAAAAATTCATGGAGAAATATATTAAGTAGTACAGTTTTATGTGCTTAATTAAAGACTGTAAAATGTTAAGGATCATTTTGATGTTTTTTTTTTTTTCCTTTTCCGCCGTCTAAATGGTATATAATAGACTTCCCTAATTTTAAGTTCCAAAGTATCTTTTCCTTTATTGAGACCTTATTGATAATGGACTTGGAAATAGGTTTAACTCCATTTCTATTCTCTGAATGTTTTCAATCATGTTTGGTTTTTTTTTTTAATATGGGAAAAAAGAACCTGCTTGTAATAAATGATTTTAATCTAAATAACTGAATCTGTGTCCCCAGCTTTTCATTGTGATGAATGCAGCTTATAAAATGTTGCATCATGTTTTTCAAAAAAATTATATATTGTTTCTTTGTGCATTAAATTTTTCCTTTATTCTCTTCACTGGTTTAAAATCTATGTGTTTCTGCTTTGTAACTCAAGTTTCTTTCACCAGAGAAAAAAGTTAATTCTTAATCATTTAGGAGTTCTTAATATTTTCAACATGTGTTTTGAAGAGTATGATGAAAGATTAAAGGGATTCCATTTTGGACCACATGTTGGAATAGAAGTGTCGTCAATTAGTTGGTGGCACCCCAGGTTTACATCTAGGAAGGCACAAAGTACCTCACTTCTGCAGGTACTCATTTCTTTTCTTTTGGCCATGACAGGAACTCTTAAGTATTCCAAGAAAAGCATATGGCACTCACTTTGTCCTGGATGCTGAACTGTTGTGTTTCTCTTGAATGAACTAAGAGTTTGGATGTATAGTTTATGCAAAGCTGAGGAGTTTCAAATCAAGCATAAAACTTTTGGAAATAGAATTTGTTATGTTGGAGGCCATATCTGTAGAAGTGGGAGAGAGAGATAGCTAGTCCTTACTAAAAGCATTACTCCTAGAAAATGAAGTTTTCCTAAACCCGAGCTATGTTGAAAGGTGCCACTTTGATAGAAATTTAGAACCAGAAATTGAGCTTCACACAGATAGAGACCCCCCTTTTTGGGGGGAGGTGGAATTGGACTTTATAGAAATTAAGAACTTATTAAAAAATATCAATAGGAAAATGAAGAAAGTCGCAGGCAAGGATAATATAATATAAATATCTGTCCATCCATCTGACAAAGGAGTTCTATCCAGAAGGTATAAAGATCATATTATAAACCAATTAAGACAAAAAAAAAATTATTTTTAAAGAATGGGAACAAAAGAATATCCAAATGGCTATTATGCATATGAAAAGATATCAACATCACTATTCATCAGGCAAATTAAAATCATGAGGTGCTATTTTATATCCAACCAGAACATCTCAGCTTTTTTTTTTTAGAATTATTTACTTGATAAAGTTTTTAAACTTGTTTTAATTAGTTATATATGACAGTAGAATGCATTTATGCACTTTGATATACATAGATAGAATGTAATATCTTTCCTATCCCCACATCCCCTCTCCTTCCCTCCCATCACTTCCCTCTACCTAACCTAAGGTAATGCTATTCTTCCCTAGTGCCCCACCCCCGCCTTATTGTGAATTAGCATCCACATATTAGAGAAAACATTTGGCCTTTGGTTTTGTGGGATTGGCTTATTTCACTTACCATGATATTCTCCAACCATTTACTGGCTAATGCCATAATTTTTACTCTTCTTTAAAGCTGAGTGATATTCCATTGAGTATATGTACCACATTTTCTTTATCCATTCATCTATTGAGGGACACCTAGATTGGTTCTATAGTCTAGCTATTGTGAATTGAGCTGCTGTAAACATCGATGTGGCTGTGTCACTGTAGTATGCTGATTTTAAGTCCTTTGGGTATAAACAAAGATTGGGATACCTGGGTCAAATGGTCCCATTCCCAATTTTCTGAGGAATCTCCATACTGCTTTCCATAGTGGTTGCATCAATTTGCAGTCCCACAGCAATGTATGAGTGTAGCTTTTTCCTCACATCCTCAACACTTACTGTTGTTTGTATTCATAATAGCTGCCATTCTGACTGGACTGAGATAAAATCTTAGAATAGTTTGATTTGCATTTCTCTAATTGCTAGAGATGATCAACATTTTTTCATATGTTTGTTGATTGATTGTATATCATCTGAGAAGTGTCTTTTCATGTCCTTAGCCCATTTATTGATTGGGTTATTTGTTTTGGGTTTTTTTTTTTTTTTTTTTT